GGGGTGGGGCGGGGCCACAATGGCCGACCAAAGTTTTAGATAGAAATATATAGGAAAATTCTTTAAAAATCTTCTTTTTAAGAACAGCAAAGCCAGAATTGCTCATATTTATGTGGAAGCATCCCCAGGTAGTCTAGATTCAAGTTTCTTCAAATCATGACCCCCGGGGGTCGGGCTGGGCCACAATGGCCGACCAAAGTTTTATATAGAAATATATAGGAAAATTCTTTAAAAATCTTCTTCTCAAGAACCGCAGAGCCATAATTGCTCATATTTTTGTGGAAGCATCCCCAGGTATTGTAGATTCAAGTTTGTTCAAATCATGACCCCCGGGGGTAGGGCGGGGCCACAATGGCCGACCAAAGTTTTATATAGAAATATATAGGAAAATTCTTTAAAAATCTTCTTCTCAAGAATAGCAAAGCCATAATTGCTCATATTTATATGGAAGCATCCTCAGGTAGTGTAGATTCAAGTTTGCTCAAATCATGACCCCCGGGGGTAGGGCAGGGCCAAAATGGCCGACCAAAGTTTTATATAGAAATATATAGGAAAATTCTTTAAAAATCTTCTTCTTAAGAACAGCAAAGCCAGAATTGCTCATATTTATGTGGAAGCATCCCCAGGTAGTGTAGATTCAAGTTTGTTCAAATCATTACCCCCGGGGGTAGGGTGGGGCCACAATGGCCGACCAAAGTTTACATAAAATATATAGGAACATTCTTTAAAAATCTTCTTCTCAAGAACAGCAAAGTCATAATTTCTCATATTTATATGGAAGCATCCTCAGGTAGTGTAGATTCAAGTTTGTTCAAATCATGACCCCCGGGGGTAGGGCGGGGCCACAATGGCCGACCAAAGTTTTATATAGAAATATATAGGAAAATTCTTTAAAAATCTTCTTCTCAAGAACAGCTGAGCCATAATTGCTCATATTTGTGTGGAAGCATCCCCAGGTATTGTAGATTCAAATTTGTTCAAATCATGACCCCCGGGGGTGGGGCGGGGCCACAATGGCCGACCAAAGTTTTACATAGAAATATATAGGAAAATTCTTTTAAAATTTTCTTCTCAAGAACAGCAAAGCCATAATTGCTCATATTTATATGGAAGCATCCTCAGGTAGTGTAGATTCAAGTTTGTTCAAATCATGACCCCCGGGGATAGAGCGGGGCCAAACTTTTGGATTCAAACTTTTCAATAGTAAACCAATTACTACTTTTTCCTAGCTACAATGCTCGGGTGAGCGATGTGGCCCATGGGCCTCTTGTTCAAAATGCTACTCCTCCTACAGTTTTGGTCCGATTTCAATATAACTTGGCACACAATTAGACTACACTAAGATACATAATTTTATGCATCGGTTTTTGTCTCGCCTGCGACGAATGTCGCGAAGCGAGACATAGCGACCATAGATTCCGTCGTCGTCGTCGTCGTCGGCGTCCAACTTTTGGTTAACCCAAATGTCAAAGTTTTATAAACTGCAATAACTTTCTCAAATTTTATTCAGTCTTCTTGAAATTTGGACACAATATTCAGTATGGATAAAAATTTATATCCCAAGTATGATTTTGAAAAAAAAAATTCAAATTTTTCCGTATTTTTTCCTTAAGTTGGACTTAGTTTTTTCATGATAATTTATGGTGAAGACCTATATTCCAGCAACTATAAGTTATAGGAATATGATAATTAGTCAGTGGATACATCATGGGTAACCACAAACGTCAGTACCAGAATTAGGTCATCTTGACCTACATTTTTCTGCATGAGTGACTTTGGTTAAATTTTTGGTGGAGGTCCATATCTCAGCATCTATAACTTATAATGGCATGATGATTTGTCATTGTACAGGTTATAAGTAACCAACAACATCAGTACCAGAATTAGGTCATTTTGACCTACATTTTTCTGCATGAATGACTTTGGTTAAATTGATAATGGAGGTTCATATTTCAGCAACTATAACTTATAGTGGCATGATAGTTAGTCAGTGGATACATCATGGGTAACCACAAACGCCTGTACCAGAATTAGGTCATCTTGACCTACATTTTTCCGCATGAGTGACTTTGCATAAATTTATGGTGGAGGTCCATATCTCAGCAACTATAACTTATAGTGGCATGATAATTTGTCAGTGGATACATCATGGGTAACCACAAACGCCTGTACCAGAATTAGGTCATCTTGACCTACATTTTTCCGCATGAGTGACTTTGCATAAATTTATGGTGGAGGTCCATATCTCAGCAACTATAACTTATAGTGGCATGATAATTTGTCAGTCTACACATCATGGGTAACCAACAATATCAGTACCATAATTAGGTAATCTTCACCTACATTTTCTGCATGAATGACTTGATACATATACAGTGGATTTGATTTCAAAATGCAAGTTCAAATTATTGCGACTCATAACACGTTGCAATATTCGCAATAATAAAAACATCACAATAATTTGTGAATTTACAGGGTATATGTATATATATATAAATGCCAATATAATCGCCAAGGGATTAGATATTAAGTCAGCTGTTCCATTTCTTTATTATTGTATTTTTGAGTTATTCCTTCTGAAATGTCAATAAATGCTTCAGTTTATCAGACAATCATTTCTTACTAACCACAGCGACAGCAGGCGAGACACAGGGTTGCGGGCAACCCTTACGTACTTTTTGATTTCGATGAACGGTGTTGCCGTGGTTACTAAAAATAGAAATTTCTGTGAAATTCTTTCAAAATGCTACTCCTCCTACAGTTTTGATCTGATTTCAATATAACTTGGCACAAAAGTAGACTACACTAAAATACATAATTCTGTGCATTGGTTTTTGATTTCGATGAACGGTGTTGCCGTGGTTACTAAAAATAGAAATTTCTTTGAAATTCTTTCAAAATGCTACTCCTACAGTTTTGGTCCAATTTCAATATTACTTGGCACACAAGTAGACTACACTAAAATACATAATTCTGTGCATCGGTTTTTGATTTCTATGAACGGTGTTGCCTTGGTTACTAAAAATAGAAATTTCTTTGAAATTCTTTCAAAATGCTACTCCTCCTACAGTTTTGGTCCAATTTCATTATAACTTGGCACACAAGTAGACTACACTAAGATACATAATTCTGTGCATCGGTTTTTGATTTCGAGGAACGGTGTTGCCTTGGTTACTAAAAATAGAAATTTCTGTGAAATTCTTTCAAAATGCTACTCCTCCTACAGATTTGGTCCGATTTCAGTATAACTTGGCACACAAGTAGACTACACTAAGATACATAATTCTGTGCATCGGTTTTTGATTTCGATAAACGGTGTTGCCGTGGTTACTAAAAATAAAAATTTCTGTGAAATTCTTTCAAAATGCTACTCCTCCTACAGTTTTGGTCTGATTTTGATATAACTTGGCATACAAGTAGACTACACTAAGATACATAATTCTATGCATCGGTTTTTGATTTCAATGAACAATGTTGCCATGGTTACTAAAAATAAAAATTTCTGTGAAATTCTTTCAAAATGCTACTCCTCCTGCAGTTTTGGTCTGATTTCAGTATAACTTGGCACACAAGTAGACTATACTAAGATACATAATTCTGTGCATCGATTTTTATTTTGATGAGTGGCAAGGATCATTGTTCTATTTATTGCTGATTTAAAGTCTCAAGTCCCAACTGCTACTTTTCTCTTCCTTTGTTTTAAGTATAAACCAGCAGAGCTACAGTCTCGACAGAGACTTCTGGTTTTCAAATAAGGGGGAGATAAAATATTGCTTTTTAGCTCACCTTGAGCCGAAGGCTCAAGTGAGCTTTTCTGATCACATTTTGTCCGTCGTCCGTCCGTCCTTTTGTTAACTTTTCACATTTTTGACTTCTTCTCAAGAACCACTAGGCCAATTTTAACCAAACTTGGTACAAAGCATCCTTAGGTAAAGGGAATTTTAAATTGTTAAAATAAAGGGCCAAGATCCCTCACAAGGGGAGATAATAAAGAAAATACAAAAATAGGGTGGGGTCATTAAAAAATCTTCTTCTCAAGAACCACTGGGCCAGAAAAGCTGAAACTTATATGGAAGCATCTTGGGGTAGTGTAGAATCTAAATTGTTCAAATCATGACCCCCGGGGGCTGGGCAGGGCCACAATAGAGAATCCAAGTTTTACATAGAAATATATAGGAACAAACTTTAAAAACCTTCTTCTCAAGAACCACTTGGCCAGAAAAGATGAAACTTATGTGGAAACATCCTCAGGTTGTGTAGATTCATTTTTGTTCAGATCATGACCCCCGGGGTTGAGCGGGGCCACAATAGGGAATCCAAGTTTTACATAGAAATATATAGGAACAAACTTTAAAAATCTTCTTCTCAAGAACCACTGGGCCAGAAAAGATGAAACTTATGTGGAAGCATCCTGGGGTAGTGTAGAATCTAAATTGATAAAATCATGACCCCCGGGGGTTGGGCGGGGCCACAATAGAGAATCCAAGTTTTACATAGAAATATATAGGAACAAACTTTAAAAATCTTCTTCTCAAGAACCACTTGGCCAGAAAAACTGAAACTTATGTGGAAGCATCCTGGGGTAGTGTAGAATCTAAATTGTTCAAATCATGACCCCCGGGGGTTGGGTGGGGCCACAATAGAGAATCTGTAGATTCTAAATTGTTCAAATTGTGACCCGGGGCGGGGGCATAGTAGTAAAGAACGACATCACCAATGCTACTCAGGTGAGCGTTGTGGCCCATGGGCCTCTTGTTTATGTTTTTGATTTTTTAAAAACCATTCTGTCCTGTAAATTATGTGTACATGCAGTTATGTCAAAACTTTCACACTAGAGCCTTGGCAGGTTTGAATTCAGATCTAGTAGATTATGCATTAAAGCACTGAATTCCTCTTTCATACATAACATGTTTCAAGGCTTATGTAAAATATTGAGAGAAATTACAGGTATGGTTAGTTATATTGCAAATAAAAATTTTAAAATGTCTTTATTTTTACAGGAACAAAAGCGAGCCTGGGCAGAGTCTGTTTATTTCTGTGGTCAACAAGTGGTGGATTTCAGGAGACTCATTCAGAGTCAAAGGGCAGCTATGTAAGTTTTCTGTTAATTTGTGGTATATTGAAGTCAGACAATTTAGGACCAAAGTGGTTACTATAGCAGTATCATATAAGGTTTTGAAGTGTATATTAAAAGGAACTATTTCAAAATTAGAGTAATTCTGCAAAATTGGTGTAATGAAAATTTTTCTGTGCTTTAGCATCTAAATTTTTCTAAAGTCTTGGTTCATATCATTTGATATTCTAAGTAATTTCTGTATTTTGTTTCAGGTTAAGTTTACTTAGAACTAACTCTAGTTTTCTGAAGATGAAGAACAATATGGTGGGTAGTTGTGATCACCTGTTGTCAAAGATGCAGTATTTCAAAGAATGGTAGGACATACAGAATGATATCATATGAGGGATTAGGAAAATACATATCTTCCTGTTAACTGATAATTCCTTATATCTAAGTTCTCTCTAAGTGAGTTTTACTGTATTTCTTTTTAATTCAAATGTACTGCATTGATCAATAATTGGAGCCTAATTGTATGAATAAATCAAACAGTTGCAAAATAATACATATGTATAATACATGTAAATGCACTGGATGAGTTAATAAATGGAATTGAAATTTTTGTTTGAATGTGGTTTTAAAGTGTCTATAAATAATTTCAGTTTACAACATGACCTTGACATGTATGAAATCCAGAAGTCAGATGGAGTACAAAGTAAGTGCAGAAGTCTCACTTTCAAATAAATCTATAAATAACCAAAATTTTGTGCAGCTTGGACTTCCGGTGTGGCGACGCATATGGCGTAAAGCGGGAACGAGGGCTGAGGGTCTTATCGTAAAGGTTTAGTGTGTGGGCCGTGGTATATTGAATGTAATGTGCTCTAGTCGAGTCCCTAAGTAGGTGTGGTTTGCGTTTGTGCAAGATTCAGGGTTGCTGCATATCACTGGATGCTACGGGCGGAGGGACCATACTTTTCTTCGAGGAAATTCGGAAAGTTCAGGAAAAAAGATGCCACGTACAGGAAATAAGGAGAAAGAAAAAGAAAAAGACAGTGCACAAGGTGACGAAGTGTCAAATAAAGACCTAAGAGACATATTTTCGAGTCTCATACAAAAATTAGAAAACTCAATGAGTGAGAGGCTCGCTACGTTAGAGAAGAAGCTAGAGGAAACGCGGACTACTGTCAAGGAGGAAATTATAGAAATGAAGGTAGCTTTGCAGAACCAGGATGACCGTCTAACGGAACTGGAAAAGATTGACAAAGAGATTGTACAACCGCAGAGTGAAAGGGTAAGCCAATTAGAGACATCTCTACGACAGTTGCAAGATCATATCACTTATTTAGAGGCACGATCAAGAAAATACAATCTACTGTTCTACGGCATTGCGAGAGTCGAGAATGAAGATGTGTCGGCTGTCATTCTGAACTTTCTCCGTCAAAAATTAGGCATGCTGTCAGTAGACGATATCCTGATTCAAAACTGTCATAGAATACCAAAAAATCCAAATAATAATTACAACAAACCTGGAGCTCCAGATGCAATCATTGCAAAACTCGTTCGGATGGAAGACCGGAACCAGATACTGATCCACGCCAAGAACGCTACCTTACCACAAGGGTATGCAGTAAGGACGGATTTGCCGGGTCACCTGAAGAAGAAGAGAGGGAAATTGGCACAGAAAGCATACGAGCTAAGGAAAGATGGAATGAAGACGAGGATCCGGGAAGTCAAAGATGACGTCATTCTCGAATATAGAAGAAAAGACGAAAAAGAATGGATTAAATTCTGTGATCCGGAGTAGTTTTAAGAAGTTTTTTCTCTTCTGCAGATTAACGTTATTGGACTTATGGTGAAGGTGTTTGAATGTTATAACCTTTAAAGTGCTTTCAAGTGCTTACTTGTTTAGTTTATACTTGTACAAAAACAAATATAATTTAAAGGTATAGAAAGAAAGATGTACAATACTTTTTTAAACAAATGAAAACTTGATGTAATCAAATGGCTCACAATCTGTTTTTGATAATGTGACCAAGTTTAATTGATAAGATAAGACCCAATGCAGTCTACAACATTTTTTTTTCCCTCTGTAACTGTTCTATTACCATACAGGAAGTATTTTTCATTTTTGATTTATGTGTGAAAGAAATGAGAGTATGCAGCATGTATATGTTTTTATCTTTTTTCAACTTAACAATATAGATGTATTATGACTAAGTTCAATATTACTTCTGTAAACTGCAGAGGCTTACATGATTCCGCAAAAAGAAAAGATGTATTTAACTATTTAAGAAATTTAAAATCATCTATATATTGTTTACAAGACACCCATTGTACAGAATCAGAGAAAAAATCAGTTTATGCTCAATGGGGAAATGACATACTTATCAGCTCAGGAAAATCAGATGCAAGGGGGACTTTAACGCTTTTTAATAACAAAAATGAAATTAAAATTTCTAAAGTTTATAGTGACAGTGAAGGAAATTTTATCATATCAAATATAATGGTGGATAACAAATACTCAATCACCTTGGTAAATATATATGGTCTAAACAAAGATAATCCTAAATTTTATTCAGAAATTAGTGATAAAGTGGAAGAACTATTTGACACTGACTTTATAATCATGTGTGGGGACTGGAATGTAGTACAGGATTACCAGTTAGACTGTTATAACTATGTTAGGGAAAATAATCCAAAGAACAAACTTGAAATTGAAAAGTTAAAAACTAAATTTAACTTAGTAGATCCCTGGAGGATTAAAAACCCAGATGAAAAAAAATATACATGGAGTAGAAAGAACCCAGTTAAACAGGCTAGACTTGACTACTTTTTAGTGTCAGAGGAACTCTTATCAATTGTAAGTGACGTTAATATAAAGCCAGGCTATAGGACTGATCACTCTATCATTGAATTAGATATCACTATTAATGAGTTTAAACGTGGAAAAGGATTCTGGCGCTTTAACAACTCCTTATTGAGAAACAAAGAATTTGTACAAAATGTTAAAAAAATTATCAAAGAAACAGATGATGAATACCGTATTGATGAATCAACCTTAGAAATTTCAGAAAATCTTTTTCTTGATGTACTACTGATGAAAATAAGGGAAATGGCAATACAAATGTCTGCAAAACTAACTAGAGAAAGGAAAGATCACAAATTGAAAATTGAAAATCAATTAAAAATTTTACATGATATGTATGCAAAAAACCATTTGTCAATTTATCTAGATATGATAAATGATCTTGAGACAGATTTAGAGGAGATTAGAAAATATGAATTAAAAGGGCTTTTACTAAGAAGTCATTGTAAATGGATAGAAGATGGAGAGAAACCTACTAAATATTTTTGTGCCCTAGAAAAAAGAAATTATGTCAATAAGAATATCAACAATTTAATCAATGATGATGGTAAATATGTAAACAAACAACAAGAGATCTTGGAAGAAGTAAGAAAATTTTATAAAAAACTATATGAAAATAAAGATCATGAGCTAGATGATGTTAATCTTGAGGATTTACTTCAAAAGTATGATGTTCCCAAAATTAATAATGATACAAAAAGTTCTATAGATGTGGAAATTACAATACAGGAAGTATTTCAAGCTCTTAAAAACTTTAAAAATGACAAAACGCCTGGGACCGACGGTTTTACAGCAGAATTTTTCAAGTTTTTTTGGACAGATATTAATTCATATATCCTTAAATCCTTTAATTATAGTTACAAAGCAGGTCAGCTGTCCTATACGCAGACACTTGGAATAATTTCTATTCTCCCTAAAGGCAACAAGTCAAGGGAACACTTAAAAAATTGGAGACCAATTACATTACTGAACATTACATATAAACTTCTATCTAGTGTTTTAGCAAACCGAATAAAACTAACCCTGTCAAAAATAATACATGAAAATCAAAAAGGGTTTCTTGCTGGTAGATATATTGGTGAAAACTCAAGGCTATTATATGATGTTATTCACTATTGTAAAGAAAATGCTCACCCAGGTCAGATCCTCTTAATTGATTTTGAAAAAGCATTCGATTCTATATCTTGGAGATTCATTTACAAAGTACTCAGATTCTTTAATTTTGGTGAAAATTTTTTAAAATGGATAAAGATTTTACTTAATGAGCCGAAGTTATGCGTTATCCAAAATGGTTTCTTTTCAAATTTTTTCCAAATGGGACGAGGTTGTAGGCAAGGCGATCCTATTTCACCATATTTGTTTTTACTATGTGCAGAAATAATGGGAATTATGATTAGAAATAATAAATTGATAAAGGGCATTGTTATTGAAGATAAGGAATATAAACTATTACAATATGCTGATGATACAGTTTTATTGATGGATGGCTCAGAGGAATCTATCAAATCAACCTTATCCTTAGTTAATCAGTACTCCAAATTCTCTGGATTGAAACCAAATTATGATAAAACACAATGTATTAAGATTGGGTCAACTGTTCATAATGATGACAACTTATGTGATAAATATCCAAACTTAATGTGGTCACAAGAGCCATTTACAGTGCTAGGTATAACATACTGTGTAGATTTAGATCTAGATGCTATGTTTGCTTTGAATTTTTTTCCAAAGATTGACACTGTCAAAAAGCTTGTAGCATCATGGTCTAGAAGATGCTTATCAACGGCTGGTCGTATTACTGTTGTAAAAACCTTGCTTTTACCTAAATTCAGTCACCTATTGATTACCTTACCTAGCCCATCTAAAGAAAAACTAAAGGAGATTGAAGATATATTCTTTAATTATATTTGGAATTTTAAAACAGCTAGGGTGGCGAAAAATACCATATGTCAAAGTTTTGAAAATGGTGGTATGAGAATGACATGTCTTGATTCCTTTTGTAAAAGCTTAAAAATCACATGGATTCGCAGGCTACTTGATGGTTATTGTATATCAGCCTGGAAAGAATTACTAAAGGATTTAAATCCAGATCTTAAATACTTGAATATATATGGGAGTGATTTTTTAAAAAAACTTAAGAAAGATACAAAAAATGTTTTTTGGAAAGATGTTTTTTCAGCATTGTTAGAGTTAAGGTTAAGTACTGATGATCAAATATCTGTTTTAAGTCCTATATGGTATAACCAATCTATATGTATTAACAAAAAAAGTATTTGTTATAAGTCATGGCTGAGAAAAGGCATACAATTTATTTTTGATTTTTATGATACAAATGGTACCTTGTTGGATTATCAAGAATTTTGTAAGTTATATGATTTAAAAGTACCATTTACCATGTTTTTTGGAATACTGAGTTGTATAAAAAAATTACAGTTGAATTATGATCAAATGACAATTCAAAGAAACCAACCTTTTTTCCCAAAATTCCTACAAGTAATTATAAAAAGCAAGAAAGGTGCAAAAGATTTCTATGATATTCTTGTTAGTCAGAAATACAAAAAGCCAAAGAGTGAAATTAAATGGGAGAATATTTTGGATTTAAATGTTGATGAGCTTTGGTGGAAAAAACAAAATATTTTGTTCTTTAATGTAACAAATGATATACAGCTTAGATGGTTCCACTATAGAATTGTACATAGAATTTTAGCCACAAATACATTTTTATACAAAATTGGTGTTACTGACTCGCACTTATGTAGCTTTTGTAAAACGCATCCAGAGACATTGTGCCACCTATTTTGGGAATGTGAGTTTGTTATAGAAATTTGGGAAAACGTTTTGAATTGGATGTTAGAAAAGTTTGGACTTGATATAAATCTAAATAAGGTCGATGTTCTGTTGGGAAAATATTACAAATATAACAATATATTTAATCTAGTAATATGTATAATTAAAAAGTATATCTATAGAACCAAACTTAGGAAAAATAAATTATCTTTTGAGAGAGTCAAACAAGAAATTGTATACTACTATAATTGTGAGAAATATATTTATAAGAAAAATGGAGATATGGACAGCTTCAAAAAACGATGGAATGCGATAACATTTTAAGATGAAAATTATATATGTAGATTGAGTTATATTAAGTTATCTGAATGCTATTAAGTACAGAACTGCAGTTTTTCAGATGTGTATTTTTTCTATTTACAATATCTTTGCTAGATACTGATATAGACATATGCATGCCGTTGTGGTGAATGATGAGTGAATGGATTAACAAAAAAAAAAAAAAATTGTCCTATCATAAGATAAGATTGTGTTGTAACCATGTAAGCATAGTGAATCCAGGGCCCCAACCCTGGCACTAAGCATTGTAATTTAATATATGATGGGATAATAAAAAAAAATCTAAACAAAAAAAAAAAAAAAAAATTTTGTGCAGCTTTGTAGAAGCTTGATAGAATTACTGAAGGAACTTTTGAATTGACGTAGATAAGATAAAGATTTTTAATAACTGCCCTTTTTGAGACTCGAATTCATACATGTATGTAGAACTCATTTAGACATGTTCCTTATATCTCAAAGATTTGCATTCCAGATACCAAATATCTACACTTTCTTTCATGAGAACAGAATTATATATAACCTTAATCAAAATGTCTGAAAACAGTAATTTTTATTTCTTACACATTACATTCTTTCATATGTATTGATTTTTACATTTTTCTTATTCTTGAAAAGACATTGACATTAAAAAGTGATTTTCTTTTTTTACAGATACTGAAAAGGTAGTGGCCAAATGGAAGAGAATTGGAGAAGAAGTGGATGTCCATAGAAACCTGGTACAATACTGAAAGGAATCCATCATCACAACCCCCATCCTCTCTCTCTTCCTCTCTCACCCCCTCTATCTCTCTTCCCCTTCTCTCTCACCCCTCCCTCTTTTGCTCTCACTACAGTAAAATTCGTTTAGTACGAACACAGATATTGCGAATTCACAGATATAGCAAAGTTATCTTGGATCCCCAGCTATATAAATCTAACGAATTCATTACACAGATATAACGAATTACATATATAGAGAAGTGATTTCATAGGTCCCAGTGACTTCATTATAACCGAGTTTTACTGTATTTCTAACCCCTCTCACTCCTCTCTGAATCACTTTAAAGTTTATCCCGTGAAGCTGAATTCTAAGGTATTTAATCCTGATTTCTTGTAGAGAGAGAAAGTGACCAAGCTAGACCAACAATCCACTGCCTTACAGACCAAGATTGTGGAATTACAAAAGAGTCCATTCGCTCGAGGCAAACTGAATGAAGTTTTAGAAGATATGTAAGTTTCTGAAAGAAAAATGTCAGCTTTATGTGAAAAAAGCCTTTTAGGTTTAATATGAAGGGGAAAAAAAAAAGAATTTTCATCCTACGTAGCTATTGATAGTTTATTAAATGATTTTACTTTCAGAGAGAAGAAAGCTGTAACTCTATATCATGACATGAGACAAGCCGGCAAAGGTTGGATAAAAATAAATCAAATTTTCTATATTCATTCTCTTAATTTTGAAATATTGAACATAATGTGTGATGAAGAGTCTTGGAACTTTTTTTATTTTTGAGAGGTGTGAAGGGATTGGAAAAAAAGTGTTTTTTTAGTATTAAATGGGAAAACAATAGTCACAATATACACTCAACCACTTGGAAAATGCTGAAATAAAAACTAGAAGTATAAATTAATCTGAATAGATTTTTACGGAGTATTCCATGAATGGCACATATGTTTTTCAAAATTCTGATGATGAGTTTCTTTGTGATGCAGGTGGACGGGATATCTATAAAGACCACAGCCCAATGGTTCAGATTGTCGTAAAGTGTCTCATCCATAGGGATAAAAGTTTACAGGATTTATACACACATTTAGGGTAAGGAATAATGTATACAGGATCTGCTTACATTTAGGGTTAGAAATAATGTTTACAGGATCACAACATTTAGGGCTAGGAATAATATTTACAGGATCACAATTAACTTGTAGGGTAAGGAATATAGTTTACAGGATCAAAATATTTCTTGTAAAGAATAATGTTTACAGGATCTCTACATGTATTGAGGGTAAGAGTATGAAGTATGATTAAAGGTTCTAAATACAATAAGTGTGAAGGGACAGCGATTTACAGAATCGTATGAACAGAAAGTTAACAGGATTTTGTACACATTTATGGCAAGGTACAAAAACTTCACACTTTACAGGATCATTATACTCACGTAGGGTAAGGAATAAAAAAGTTGATGAGATCTGCACACTTGTTTCGGGTTTGGACAATACATTACACAATCTAAACACAGATTAAAGATCAATATGATACAGGTGACTTAAATTTTTGTTAGTTACATTTTAAGTACCAGGGTAACTTTTATAAGTATTTTTTTTTCTTTGGAGAAATTTTGTAGGAACTTATTTATATGGCACATGAAACAACAAGAATTTGAAGATTGCCTTTGAAATTAGATATACATGTACAAAATATTTTTTTAATTGCAGGAAAATCTGTGCCTGTAAACATGAACTGTTCCAGTTATTACCCAGCATTCAGCAGTGCTGTAAACAGATCACAGATGCCACAAACAAACTGTTACAGTCACAGAAACAGAGACAATCTGATATCTGGAGTCTGATCAAAATGGCTGTAAGCTTTTGCCCACAGTTGTAGCTAACAAAGTGAATTCTACTGTGTAAATGCATTTTTAAGCCTTCTTTTTTTCATAACCCCTTTCCCAAAAGATTGACACTTACACAGAGATCTTGTGCTGTTATTTCATGCTATTAGGAGGGGTAAAGCTGTTCATTTTGGACAATTTTCAAAACAGCAAAATCACGTTTTCCTTAATAGAAATAATTTATGAAATACACCAAAACATGTACCATGACTTTTTTAACAGACATATTTAGCCCCTCTACCCTCCTCAAACCAATGCTTTGTAGATAGAGGAATTAAATAATTAAGGCAGGTGAAGATATTCTAAACAAAATGACTGTTTCTGAAGTACTGAAACTAAAGTAAAGGCAACTCCTTCTTTGCAGGCACAAAATGGCATGACAAGGCAGGATTCCAAGGGAAGTAACTCTGCAAACTCCTGGGGTGCCTCTTCATTAGAGTCCATGAAAGTCTGCGATGACAACAGGGAGACTGTCAAAAAGTAAGCACCATTTAAAGAGCCATGATTTAGGGTTTTTAGACACTGTATAAACATTTAAGGGTGCATGTTCATCTCAAATGTGTAAAAGAAATGTATATTTATATATGATGTAAGAATATTAAATCTGAAGGTCTGGAATTTTTTTTTTTTGAAGTGCATCCCTCCAAACTTCATAATTTGACTTCAAGTAGAGAACATTATCTGAATATTCAGTTGTTTGAACATTTAGAATTAAATGCATCAAAGTAGGTAAATATAATTTTGTGTTTGTAGCACTCTGAGAATTTCAACTTTCAATTGGAATTTTTTTCAGATTTGATGACATTATAAAGACAGTGATGGAGGAACATGAAGAACACATGTCTTCAATGGATTGGAGTTTTCTACCTCCTTTACAAAAGAACACTTCCTGATTCTGACTTACATTCATATTCTGCTCAACTACCAAGCGAGGAAACATTCCAGAAGTCTCAAATTTATGGGAAAGTGCAATATTTATGAAAGCATTTTATAGATTATGAACATGGAAGTTTTAAAAAATACCTACATGTTATATATGGACGGATCTGATACTTGGATCTGAATATACATGTGGTACATTTCAGTAATGATGATTGAAAAGTTTGTACTGAATTTGTTTTAAATTTAGTTTGCAAAGGACCAATGTCATGCTTGCTCAAATTAAAGTCCTATTTGTGAAAGTAATGTTTAGAATAAGTTATGTTAATGGGATGTTGGCAAAGTTAATGATACATGAAGTATCTTTTTCAATACCTGAATGAGAGTTCTTTCAGTATATACATGTACCTATAGGTTTTATTATTTGGAAAGAACCAAATGTGGTTTGCTAATGTTTGATAAACATTAATCTTGGCTGTTACCTTTTAGAATGACCTAGGTTGTACACTGTGTTTGATTATGGAGTTTCTTTATTGTAGAACTAATTAAATCTTCCATCAGATGTATTTTGATGAACACTGACTATGAATGAATATTACACTTTCATATTCTGCTCAATAATATTTATTTTGCCAGTAGTTTGTCTTTTCCCCAGTTAAATAAAAAAATCTTTTTGTCATGGTTATCAAATAAATTTTGTAAGTGCCATAACTTGACCCCTTGATTGGAATTACTGTAGAAATACTTTTTTCCGCGTGGTATTAATTCACGCTATGTACGCGGTCACAAATTTTCCGCGGAAATTAGACTCATCAAACTTAATACAAATATAAGGCGTATAAGGAGATTCTTAAGATATCCGCGTAATTTTCTACCAGCGGATTAAACAGAAATAGAGTTTCCGCAGAATTATGACCCCGTGGAAAAAAGTACGTCTACAGTAATTAAAACTTACATTGTCTTATGTTGCAGGAGTCTTTTTAACACAGGTTATGATGTCAACAAGCTTTTATCTGTAAATGTCATTTGGCATAAAGACATGTCCAGACTCCAAAGAAAATCAAACTAGAATTCTGTATATTCCCTATCTTATGCAAATACTTAAAATGACTCATAGAGGTCAAATCAAGTCAACTGTTGATAAAAATAAATACATGTATTACAAGTGAATCTTACTTCACATGTAATGATGTAAAAATAGTCCTTTAATATTTGAAAATCAATAGAATTTGTTGATCATGACATGGACATATGTTGTAACAAGTTTTCAAGGCAATAATTTAATTGTTAAGTGAAATAGTTAAAGTACGAGGGACGTTCAATAAATAATGTCATCGGGGCTCGGAAAGAAGCAAAAGACGCTTTTTAATGATTTAGTCTTCATGATTTTACTTATAAATCTCTTTTGATTAAAATTGATGTCCGTTAAAGTTTTTATTTAATTTCTGATTGTATTTAGAACACATTTTTGGGTATAACCCTTAGTATACTGGAAAATAGCAGATCCAATGATTTCCTGGACTTATTTTTTTCTTTCTGAAAGGTGGTTTTTCAAGTTTGAAATTAGAAACAAGTCAAAAGGTAAAAGATCTAGCGAATATTGTTAATGTGAGAAAATATTAACTTTCTTTTTATCCCGAAAACCCCTTTACTCTTCAGAGGTGCAGGTTTTGGACGCTGTCATGAAGAAATTTAATGTAGTGGATTCCTGATTCTAGGTCCTTCCTCTAATAAACCTTTCGATTTTTTTGCAAAAAGATTGCTTTCTAGACTCCTCCAAAAATTAAACTGTCCCCCCGAATACGAAATTGAACAATAGTACCACTAATATTGAAGAAAATTGCATATAAATCTGTCTTTGTGTTCCTGCATACCTTTGCTCTTGTCGGACCATTGCTGTTTTTATCAAGTACATCTTATGGTAAATTTTGTATTGAATGTTTTAAGCAATAGATTCATGTTCCATTATCTGTTTGAATATGAAACAAACTTGGATAACTACAGTTACTGATATTTTAAAATAATTGTTAAGACATTCCTTCACGACGTCGTTTTCACTCATTTTTCAAAATATAGGGTGATATCTTTGAGTACCAAGCTTTTTTACTGTCAAACGTTTCTTAAAAACATTGTAAACTACTCCCGATATGATGTATATCAAATTTGCTATGTGTCTTAAAGTCAGTCATACATCATCAGATATTATTTGTTGAAATTGGGCAAATAGTACATAAGTTGTTATAATTTTTGTTGGCAAGGACGGTACCTATTTTTGATGCCCATTATATATTTTTTTTATCATTGAAATCCACCTGCTCATTTGTCTATAAAACAGGCATTGGTTGCTGTAAATGTCACATATTTCAGTGAAAATTTCTTTGGGATTTTTAACACGTTTTACAGCAGCTTTAATGAAGCTTTTATTTTCACTCTAGTTTACTGATTCTTTACCATTCATTTATAATGCAGTGTCTCGAATAGCCCTTGTTTCCCAGCTTCTCACGATTAAACCATGTGATGAAAAGTGGTCACATAAACTGTTATCAATTCATTAAAGATTCAATAATGAGAGAAAGTCTAGATTAATGTCATATGATTTCTATGTTGTATGTCATCGAGCTAATGACATTATTTATTGAACGTCCCTCGTATCTTGAACAGTTCCTCTTGATATCCATTACATGAAATTTAGCAGATCTTCATTGAATAAAATGTCAATATTATGTTTCCTTTGATCTAAGGTTGGCAAAGTAGGAAAAAAGACACATACCGGTATTTTTGTTTTAAAACATTATCAACATGTTTCATTTAATGTAACAATAGTCCCCTGTCTGTTTGTTTTGTCCAGGTTGTTTTTTTTTTTTTTCATCATAGTAATTTTTTAAGAAGTACATTTGTATATGTATCTGGGATTAGTTATGTCAAATACCTGTGTACTATTTGTTAAAGTGAAATCATTTTTGATATCTCATACTCTTAAATATCTTGAGACCTGTCAAGCTCGAGATACGATGGTTAGTCTATACCAGTAATTTGCTACTGCCATTGTCAATTCATAGTCATAAAACATTGTATAAATTGTCTCTTTCATTTTGCTATTTAATTATCTGTTTGTACATGTTGACAGAAAATTGAAACAAAAACCCTTCTGTCCATTAAGATGGGGTTGAAGTAAGATGATGCTTCTCAAACAGATTTTTGAAGAGACAGATTCAGAACATCGTACTTCAGTATTTTAATTAATTACTGAAATAGGAGTTATTTATGGGGTTTTAAAATTTTTTTTTCATTCTTGTACACTATGTGTATATTGTTGATATAAAGTCATTCATACAGAAAATGATTGTACAAATCCAAGTTTGCATAACTTACATAAATTCTTGTTCTGTTAAATTGACTTGTTCTAAACAATTCATAATTGTGTCATAATTACCGGTAAATTCAGACATGCAGGCAAACGTTTCGTAATAAGATAACTGTGATATTTTGTTATAAATTCTTGTTTTATGGTGCTTTTATATGTATGTTTTAAGTTAAAACTTAAGGATTATGTAGTATTATGGAGAGTACATATATATGACAATAAACAATTATGAATTGAATCAGTTTTCTCTTCTGGTGTGAAAATTTTTAACGAGTCAATAACTGTAAATAAAATTTACTTTTTTGGGATAAAATTTCCATGATTTGAAAAAAGAAATTGCTTTGTGGGACTTGATTTTTTGGTTAAAGAATGATAATAGACATGCAGGATACCGTAATTTGAAACTTAAACATATGGATCGAGACATGAATTTATGGGTCTCTACCATCTAAAACAACAAGAGGCCCATGGGACACAATGCTCACCTGAGTAACTGGCCCTACTGTTTTTCATCCCATGTAATACCTATGTTGGCCCCCTCCTATCCCCATCTCTACACTGCACACTAAAGAGTTAATGATAAAAAAGATATTGCAGTATAAATTTTATTTTGTTACAAAAACGGATTAACATCAATTAGTAAACCAGGCAATTCATAGCACCATAAACATATCATCTATAACAGAAAATCTAACATTTTCCTCAGTTTATTTCCCACCGAGATCAATTTGATTGTCTTGTAACTGTTTGAATCATTTTACTATCAACTTGACACTGAGGAGCATTCATATCTGTATAAATCACAAATCATAAAATCATAATATAAAATATTACTGGAATGTCAACAAGTTGTACCGGGATATACAAATAACCCCTGATTTAAAATATTATCACAGATATTTGGGTGATTGTCACATACAAAAATCAGTAAGAGCTGAGTCTACTCCACTTTCCGAGCTTTAATGGTTTTGCTGTATAAGACCGAGGACCACAAGCAGAAAGAGAATAAAAACACTCCCTGTAGAGCTACAATGAAGCTAGGCCTGTAACCGGGGGCACCATAGAAACCATAGTGACACAGCAAGACTTCTCCGATTAACGTCAGCAGACATCTTAGGACTTCATACTGGGGAGCAGAGGGACTAAAAAATAGAGACGTGCACTCTGAAAGTTTCTTCAAAACTAAATTTAAGGAATGAATGCCTATGCAACTTACCGAATGAAATTACAATTTTATTTACCATATACAATGTACTTCGATAAAAGATGAAGGACTTTGTTTTATGTGGGCCCTTTTGTCTGGTTTTTACTTAACTTGAGCCCAAATATTTTACAATACACTACCAGTGTACCAGTAAATAGATATACTATCTAAAGCAATATAGAATTTAATGATCAAAACTTAATTAAAGTGCAAAATCAAGGTAAAAGATGAAATTCAGACATGTCAACTTGATCAAACTTCTCTCCTTGTGAGTTAATGGTACATGTCTAGTTCTGGACCAAACAACACTTTGGACTTTGTCAGACTTCTCTAAGTTAGAAACACCATGTTTCACCAACACCTCTTCATTCCATACTTACTTGTTATCAAAAATCTTCCCAAAGGAGGTCAGACAGAGTCCAATATGGAGAACAAACAGCAAGACAGATAACTGTGACAATCCCTATTATTGGAAAACAGTTCATGTAGATGTGCATTTGCATTAACTCATCCAGTATTAATATTATCA